TGTGTATCAAAATAGCCTTTACTTAAAATGTCTTTACATTTGAAATATTATTTCTCTTTTTGTTTATCAGGAACTCCAGGAATTTTACCCAGGAGACAATGTTTTTGATGCCACAGACTGGCCCAGTTTATCTGATGGGTTTGAAGGACGGTGGAAAAAGAAGGTGAACTTCAAATGTTACTTTAGTAAATTAGTTTTGCTTTACTGAGCAAAAACTGTTTAAATAATGAGCATCTCTGAATATTGAGTGGCAACTAACCAAGCGTTTTCAATCCTTAGTGGGAATATCGGACACGAGGGTTGTGCTGCACCTTATGCGAGTTCTCTACAAGATCCTGGCATGCCTACAAAACCCATGTTCAGCGCTACCATGATGAAGAAGAGCGTCTGTGCAAGCTTTCAGCATGTACTTCTTGCCCATTTATAGCCCACCCCAGAGTGGTCAACAGGCACCTCAGATTATTCCACGTTGAGGACACAAAGTTAGAAACTCCGACTGTCCCGCAGCTGCCTCCAAGGGCTGTGAACGGCACCACGTTTCAGTGCCGAAGATGCCATATACAAGATACTCTTTTGTATAGTGTGAAAAAGCATGTTCTTCTTTATCACTACACTTCCACGTTGAATAAATATGCCGGGCAGAGATCGGAGCGGGAACTTGTGGCCCTAGGAGATAGGTCTCAGAAATTCTACTGCAAAAAGTGTTACGTATCAGCGGAGACATCCGAACACTTGCTGTATCATCTTCTGACTTCAGAAAAGCACAAGGAACTGGATGTTCATATTAGAGCTCTAATTTTTGAAACAGAAAGTACGAAACAGTACCCTGCTCTAGCACCAAAAACACAAAGCACTCCTGCTGTCTTCATGATGAAAGATCAGCCAGCGGTGACTTCTACACTGGCCGCTGGTGGAATTAAAGGACCGGAAAATGGTGGTTCTGCAGTCATTACTGCCCCTGGAAGCAGCCAGGCATTTCTCCCAACTCAAGCTTCTGCTCTGGTTCAACTTGCAAGCGCTGAGGCTAAGGGTTTACTGAGACCTGGAGTCCCACTGGCTTTTCAGAACACCCAAATTACCAGACCTGCCGTGCCTCCTGCTCCTAGCGGCATTCCTCCCAACCAGGTGTCTGTCAGAGTAGGTCTACCTAGTCAGTCACAACTGCAACCCGTTTCCCGCCAAATTGTCTTACCTCCTGGTGTTCGCCTTAATGTACCTGCTGTTAGGCCACCGGCACCTCAGTACCTCGCTGCTAATCCAAGAATGCCCGTAAATCAACCTGCTTCTGGAGGCACCATGATAACCTCTCAATCACTTCTGAGCCATTTGGTCCCCACTGGCAACAAAGTTGACGGCTTGCCCACCTACACTCTTGCACCTTTGCAGGTCCTATCGGTCCAAGGAAATAACTCCCAAGGAGTCAGCAAACCACCCATGCTGGCATCCCAGAACAACCTACCTGTTCAGCAAAACAAACCAAACACCTCTTTGCCGGCCCCCAAGCAAACCAAAAAGTGGATCACATGTCCTATTTGTAATGAACTCTTCCCATCTGATATCTACGAGTCCCATCCAGAAGTTCACAAAGAGGCAGCTAAAATGCCCAAGGTTGGTCTAGCTGCTCGTGCTCCATTTTTGAAGAAGATGCCAGACAAGACGGTGAAATGCCTGACATGCAAGATCTTGATTTCAGAAAAAGGAGTTTTTGAACACCTGCTTCATGGCATGAACTGCTTGTTCTGTTCGGGGCTCTTCTACTCCATCAAGCAGCTTGTCGAGCACATCCAGATGGAACATAATGTGAACCGAAAGAGCAACTGTGACTTCATGAGGCGTGAATACCGACTCTATACTGATGATTCGGGGAATCTGCTTTTCCCTTACTTCGACATCAGGACCACGGCTCCTAAACTAATTATGGGTGAGAAGGAGCTTAATCTCGCGTTGGTCACAAGCTCCCTCGATCTGATTTTTGTGAAGATGTTGCCCAACAATCCTCTGGCTGTTGGCAAGCTGTCCACACCATGCAACATGCCCACACCCAATCCTGATAGCACTGAGTGCCCCTTCTGCTCGGAGAAGCTTCTGAACAAACAATTCTATCAAATGCACCTCAAAGAGAAGCATTTCATTGTGCCCACTCTGCATGCTATACTTAAAACCCCATCGTACCGATGCCTCTACTGTGGTGGTGTGTACACTGGGAAAACCACCACCAAGGCCATCATTGTCCACTTGGCTAAATGCCGAAGTGCACCGAAGAGTCTCAAGGATAGTGATAAACTGAATTTAGGATTAGCTGTTACTCCCAGAGCAAACCGAGCAGTTGTATCATACCCAGCTCATCCAAAACAAATCACTGGTCCAACCCCAACTCCAGTTCAAGCCTCTGTTCCTGCCACACAGCCACCAGAAACAGAAGCAGAGATGCAGAGCAAGTTGCGTCTGGAAATAGCCTTCAAGGAAGCTATGGAGGCGAATAGGAAAGAGCGGGAGGAACGGTTGGCAAGAAAGAGGAAACTCGAGCGAGATAGGCTGGCTGGTCTGACTGTCCCCTCTCCTGAAGTAGTAATCGATCCTTCCGTACAATTAGCATTGGATCCTACCGGAATGGAGTTGTCCACCTTTGAAGAACGTCGTGAGTTTATCAATAAGTACTTTAATGCACAGCCTTACCCGCTCAAGAAGGAGATCGTTGCCCTGAGTAGCCGCTTGCTGCTTAACAAAACTGACATTGCTTGCCAGATTGGCTCAAAGCGTACCAGATGTATGAAGAACATTCAGAAAACTAAGGCTGTGGTGCTTTTAGGCTTCAATATGGCAGAGCTGATGAAATTGAAGCATAATCTCTACATCCCAGAGATTGAGCCGGAGAAGTTGACCACCGTGACAGACACAGAAATGGAGGGCCTCCAAGAGTAGCTTCACATTAGTAATAAAGACGAGGAGGACTTGAACGCAAATTGTACTGAGAGCCTAAACCGCTACGTGTTCCTTGAAACAATGCAAAATATGTTCCATTCTCACCGAAACTAGTGTTTAAACTGTTAGCCAAGTAGAACTTGAGATATTGAAACAAGTAAAAAAAAATGTGTTTGATTTTTGGCTGCTGTTCATAAATGTGTGTTTGAATAGATATGTTTTGTTTCATATTAACCATTTTAAAGCATACATCCATTACTTTTCACTGAGGCATCACTTCATGCAAGGTTCATGTCAAATTAGATGTTTGTAGACCATTTATTGTTCTAGGGTTGAAAATGTTTGTGTGAAATATCCTTTTCATATTTGCCAAATGTCATAAACTATTTTTTGTGACATTCTCTATATATTTGTTGGAATGTTAGTTTATGAAGTTTTAGACTATGTATCTTTCTGTTAATCAATTCCATTGTTAAATTTCTATTTTGCTTGCCTTATACTTTTATAAATATGGTATATTCAAATGATTGTTTTGATCAGATTTTTTGTCAAAAAGGGTTTCTCTTGTAATATGAATGAATGCAGCTTACCTAAGTGACATCCTCTCAGCTGATACTTGCTAAAGTGTGGAGCTTTGCAGAGGAATTTGATTTGGTTGCGGTTCATTTCAATTGTATAATGATTGTAAGCTTCAGGATATCTTGTAGACTCTTGAGTTCCTGTTTTATTTCCCCCTGTTCAGTATTCAATATAGTGAACAACAACATCTAAGCTTACAAAATGAAAGTTGTTTAAATAAATTAGAGCATATATACATACTTTCAAGTGCACTTCTTTCAGTTGTATGTTCATGTGTAGTAGTGGCCATTTTTCGAACCTCAAACTTAAATGCCATTATAAGAGAACAAAATGTATCAGTTACCAGTATGCAGTTTATTTAAACTAGTATTTAGTATTTATTTACAGTACAAAAATGGGGAAAATAAATGTAACTTTATTATTGTGATCATAGATCTTATTTGAAGATCTAAAGAACTAAAATGTTCTTAATATTTTAACACATCTGCTTGCTGACATTCTTCATGCTGCTAGTTAAATTGAAAGAGTATTCTGTTATAAGATATATGACTACAAAAACCCTCTGGATTTTGACTAGTAAATATATAGGTTGTTAACGTTTACGTGTCCATAGAATTATTATTTTGTAATTTTAGGTTAAAATGTATATAAATGTACACAGGAAAGTCTGCATCTTAAATCCTGATGTACATGTCTGCTCTGATATATCAAGATATAAAGAGCTTATTTGCAAACACAGATAACTCAGTTTTTTTTATTTATTTCAAAAACCATGTTTTTTTTTTTTTATAGTTATCATGGTTTTATTGTGTTAGTTAGCTGTATTTTTTTAGTTATTTTTTACCCTAACCAAAATAACCCAACTGCAGTTTGAGATTAATTGGAATGCACAATGTGAAATGAAAATTCAAAATGAAAATTGTTAAAAACAGTTATCTGTTTTTGCAAATTAACTCTTCATATACACTTTCCTTCATATATTAATACACCTAAAATGTTGAATTTGAAGACCATGGACACAATTTCTTTGAAGTGTTTCCATTTTTAATTACCTTTTTGCTTTCTGAGGTTAATGTTAAATGGTCTTTAAAGCATTTAAGATTTAAATGTTTAAATTTTACATTCATTTATAATTTTTTTTTTGGAGTTATTATAAACATATCACATTCTCTCAATTAAAATGATTTCACAATGGCTGAGTACATGGTAATTATAATAAAATAGCAAGTATTTAGCCATAATACTTAAATATAATACAAGTAATATAAATACAAAAGTGAATATAATACAAATATGCTGTGCATATTTGTTTGTGATTATGGGCAAATAATAAGTGAGGCTGATTCATCTAATTTTTAATGACTCTTTGAATACATTCTAATAATTTAAACATTGAATTTAAGTATCTGTAAATTTGACTGAAAGATCTCTATTTGTAGACTTCAGAGCGAAGCAGCTTTCTCCAATCCAGCAGAGGGCGATAATGATGTCTGTACGCACTGTCCACTAGCCGCCGTCATTGCACTTGCAGTACTAAAACAGTAAACTGTTATATATCTAATAAACTCAGAACACACTAAGCTACACGACAAGTTTAATTTAAATTGTGAGGTAAGGATTGCATTTGCATTTAAAGTTTTTTTTTCTTTTTCATTGCTCTAATATTTCACTGAAGAAACCTGCTATTATTTTCTAGAATTCAGATCTAACGTTAATTGCTAACGAGAAACCAACGTGTGAAATGTAAACAGTTAGTATCATCATATTTTAGAACGTTTGAACAGTTTATTAACCCAGTGCGTGCGGTTCTCAAGCAAATTAATTTGACAACCTCATGTGTCTTTTTAGAAGTGTGTTTGAATATCCATCAAAATGTCGTACATGCTCCCTCATCTTCACAATGGCTGGCAAGTGGACCAGGCTATTTTATCAGAGGAAGACCGTGTAATTGTTATACGATTTGGCCACGATTGGGACCCTACGTGTATGAAGATGGATGAAGTGTTGTACAGCATCGCCGAAAAGGTATTACAGTGTCCTAGTGTTCAACCACCGAACTGAACGTGAACACCTCAGATCAGATAGCATTTGGTGTATGAATATGTTTTGTGATCTGTCATTACACCAATGTTTTGGGAATAATTATGTATTTTGTTTGTTTTATGTGCCTAATATCACGTGTTCCCTCAGGTGAAGAATTTTGCAGTCATTTATCTTGTGGACATCACAGAAGTGCCAGATTTCAACAAGATGTATGAGTTATATGATCCTTGCACAGTCATGTTCTTTTTCAGGTAAGTCCTCAAGCAGTATAATAACTACAGACAGTCAGTTTTTCCATTGTATTCAGCCAAGCCAGTCAGGATATCTTTTATTTAAAGGAGTACTCAACCCAAAAGTGAAAATTCTCCCATCATCTGCTCTCCCTCATGCCATCCCAGATATACTGATTGACTGACTGGAAGACACACAGACTTTTGAGAAAAATAATCCACGTATTACTACGCATTTAAATGTTATTGCTTTAGTTGTTTATTTATCATTCTTAAACGATTGTTTCTGTTTCTAGATACAAGTTAAAGCAGCACTATGTAACTTTTGGCGCTCTAGCGGTTAATAAACAGAACTGCACACATCCCGCGGAAGAACATTCCAACCGGAGCTACTTCTCTAAGTTTATGTCTATGGCGATTCACGCAGGTATGTGTTATTCCGCAGCGGTGACGACCCGACCAGGCTACAATAGTCCAAATTCATGATGTACTCGCTCATTTTATACATTTAGCAAATTTTGAACACAGAAAAAGTTACATAGTGCTGCTTTAAGCTTTAATGATAACATTTGTTGCAAATTGCCATAGAAAATATTTTTAGCCCTTCTTGACTTTTTTGTAGGTAGGAAGTCCTTGTCTTGTATTTTTGCGACTAAGTTAAAAGGTTTATTGGCTGGTAACAATGTGTTGAAATTTGATAGACATAAATGCATGTTATTTTGCACAGACAAGGTTAGTAAGTGATTGTATCACATCAGTCTTGTGGCAAGTCTTTTGTAACGGTTCCTCACTTTTTATATAATTATTTCTGTTGTATAGATACTATGCCACAGCTGCTGTCAGTAAAGTTTGTCAAATGTGCAATTGCATAATATGTATTGTATGTGGAACATTCTAGACGACTTGCTTGTTTTCTTCCCCAAAAGCACAGAATGTAGAGTTGTCTCCACCTACTGGTGAACTCTACAAATTCTTTAGTATTGTGGATTAAAGGGTTAGTTCACCCAAAAATGCAAATTCTGTCATTAATTACTCGCCCTCATGTCGTTTCAAACCCGTAAGACATTCGTTCATCTTCGGAACACAAATTAAGATATTTTTGATGGAATCAGAGAGCTGTCTGACCCTGCATACACAGCAACGCAACTGAAATGTTCCTGATTTACCATTAGTCATGTAAACATTTACTTAATGGTTGTACTAGTTTAACAGTGCATATTTATGCTAATACATATTTCTGCATTTGCTCATCTGTCTCAGGAACAAGCACATCATGATTGATCTTGGCACTGGTAACAACAACAAGATAAACTGGACCATGGAAGACAAGCAGGAGATGATAGACATTGTTGAGACTGTTTACAGGGGGGCGAGAAAAGGACGAGGTCTCGTAGTGTCCCCTAAAGATTACTCAACCAAATACAGATACTGATCTCTGTGCTCTTATTTAGTCTTTGCCATTTTTTTTTTCTGTCTGACCCTGCATACACAGCAACGCAACTGAAATGTTCCCAAGTCCAGAAACGAAACCAAGTCCAGAGAATATCCGTTGGATGTAAACAACGTATGCTGTTCTGTGTCAGCTGTGTCACACGGATACGCTGTTTCCGTTCAGATCAAATCACAACAACGTTGGAAACAGATCCGGCATGACGCAGCTGACACAGAACCATGTGACATCAGTGGTTCATCCGCAATTATACAAAGCTACGAGAATAATTTTTGTGTGCAAAAGAAAAAAAAAACTTTATTCAACAATTCTCCTCCGCATCACCCTGTAGCGCCATTTTGGAAAGTATCAGCTGGACTAAACAACCTATGCTGTTCTGTGTCAGCTGCGTCACGCTGAATCGGTTTCTTACATTGTTGTGATTTGATCTGAACGAAAACAGCGTATCCGTGTGAGGCAGCTGACACAGAACAGCATACGTTGCTACGTCCAGCGGATATTCTCCAAAATAACACCAGGGTGATGCGGAGAAGAGGAATTGTTGAATAAAATCGTTATTTTTTTTCTTTTGCGCACAAAAAGTATTCTCGTAGCTTCGTATAATTGTGGTTGAACCACTGATGTCACATGGATTATTTTACAGATCTCCTTGCTACGTTTCTGGACTTGGGAACATTTCAGTTGCGTTGCTTTCTATGCAGAGTCAGACGGCTCTCAGCTTCCATCAAAAATATCTTAATTTGTGTTCCGAAGATGAATGAATGTCTTACGGGTTTGAAAGGACATGAGGGTGAGTAATTAATGACAGAATTTTCATTTTTGGGTGAACTATCCCTTTAACATGCTCTGATTTACCATTAGTCATGTAAACATTTACTTAATGGTTGTACTAGTTTAACAGTGCATATTTATGCTAATACATATTTCTGCATTTGCTCATCTGTCTCAGGAACAAGCACATCATGATTGATCTTGGCACTGGTAACAACAACAAGATAAACTGGACCATGGAAGACAAGCAGGAGATGATAGACATTGTTGAGACTGTTTACAGGGGGGCGAGAAAAGGACGAGGTCTCGTAGTGTCCCCTAAAGATTACTCAACCAAATACAGATACTGATCTCTGTGCTCTTATTTAGTCTTTGCGATTTTATTTCTTCTCATCAACATTGGACAAGATCTGAGCATTCAGCAATATGGTCATTTGGACTATTAAATGACCTTGTTTTGGATTTTCAACTTTATATTTAAATGTGTTTACACCGTTGTAGTTGTGGCCACCAGTCTTTTATAATTTTGTCCTTCTAAAAATGTCACTGTACATTAAATGGATGAATAAGTGTTGATTGTGTTTCTGCTGTTTGTATTTTTAAATTGTAATTTACCATGACAGCATTAATTATTAGGGCTATCCATATTAAACATGTCAGAATTAAATATATGTTCAGCTAAAAAGCCGAAGGCCATACCCTAGTATGGAGACAAAACTGGTAAATATATGCTATGACAAAATGTAGTTAAGACAATATTTTGATATTTATCCCATACACACATACATATACACACACATATTGTTGATATATATTATATATACGTACACGCATTGTTTATATATATATATATATATATATATATATATATATTTAACATAGTAGAATAAGTATTTTAAACATAATGCCTGCAGTAAATATAAAATATACGCTCAAAGCAGTGTTAATGAAGAATATTGCTATATAGTTGAGCTAGGTAATATTTCTGCTAGTTCTAAATACTTTTTTTTTTTAGAAACAATGTTTATAATGTCCAAACAAAAGTTATCTAAACATCTATTGTCTCAAGGTCTACCTCTGCATGGATCCCCACCAGTTCTTTGGAAAGGTCAACACAATGTGTTTGTCGAAATTAAGCACTCAGCGATTGAGGTATGACCTTGTTTAATATTCAGTTGAGTTTTTAAACACTTATGTTGAGATATACTACTTTGTATAAACCACTGATTCTTGTTTTCCCAGGATAGCACTTTCCAGCTGGATTACCTTGATAAGACTGGAAAAGCACAGGTAGTGGTCCTGTGTACAACACAAGTTGCATTATAAAAGGGTTGTTAGAAGACAAATACAAGATCCATCTGATCCCATTACTTCAATTTCCTTTTCCACAACACTCCCAGCTGGTACTTATACTGGCAGTAATGATTGTGATATATTTGGCTTTGGATGGGGTTTCTTAGACATCTCGTCAGTTCCTTACCTTCCATTTGTAACCACAACTGAAACAGCCTACAGTCAACCCAGGTCATTAAAACCACCACAATTCCTCAAATTAAACAAACAGCTGTGACTGAAACGCATGTAGAATTTGCATCTAGATTTACAACACCCTCAGTTGGCACAAGAGGAATTACAAGTGCTAAAGCATTGTTCTCTGAGATGACATCCATCTCCACATCCCCAATGGGAACTAGCACTACTTCGGAAGCCATTTCCATGCAACCTGTGACAAGATGATTCCTTTCTCTACATCACATGTGAAAACAACCATACCTGTGGCAGTATAAGGCACGTTCACTCATGAAAAGAATACTGAAAAACTCCTTTAGTTGTTTAATAGCAGTTTAATAACTAGTTACAGCTGTGACTGAAATGCATGTAGAATTTGCATCTAGATTTACAACACCCTCAGTTGGCACAAGAGGAATTACAAGTGCTAAAGCATTGTTTTCTGAGATGACATCCATCTCCACATCCCCAATGGGAACTAGCACTATTTCGGAAGCCATTTCCATGCAACCTGTGACAAGATGATTCCTTTCTCTACATCACATGTGAAAACAACCATACCTGTGGCAGTATAAGGCACGTTCACTCATGAAAAGAATACTGAAAAACTCCTTTAGTTGTTTAATAGCAGTTTAATAACTAGTTTCATAGCAGCTAAGACGGTTCCTTTTTCCACATCTCATGTTGAGACTTCCATACCTGTGACAATAGAAGCCACTTTCACTTACAGAAAGAGTACCGAAACTCCTTTAGTTAGCACCACAGCTACTGGATTGGAAACATCTACAGCTGCAATAACTGCTGAAGCACCATCATCTCCTGAATGATTAGAAACTATAGCCAAGTCTATGTCCATCTCCACAACACCCGTTTAGTCGCCCATCACAGCAGAAATTGGCAGTACTTTACCAAACACTTTGATGGTCTCAACAACAAATGTTGTAAGCACCAGCCCTATGGAAGCCACTTCTCACTTCCATTGATGGAACATCTAGAACAACTTCAGATAGCACAGCAGATGTTGTACTGGGGAAATCCACACCTGCATTGGCAACTACTGTGGTTCCAACGTCATCTGTTAAAACAAGTTGTTTCTTCCCCATCAGCAACATCTACTGAGAGAATAACATTTGGAACAGCACCATCAGTAGGTATTGTATTGGATACAACAACACCTGCAAAAACTATTGATGAAGCTTCAACATCTGCCAAAGTGTTATCTGTCCCCACAACACTTACTAAAACTAATTTAATAGAAGCCACTTCAGCTAAAGGGATGGCATCAGGAATTGCTTTGGAAATGTCCACATCTGACGTGACAGTTTCACCAACCTCAGCTGAAACTACATCTGTCTCCACAACACCATTTTCAACAGCTCCTGAAGTACCAATCCCACCTGAAACTACCTTTGTCTCCACAACCCCTGTTGAAACTTCTTCCACAACCATGACAAGGGCTGGAGCATCAGAGATGACATCAATCTCCACATCCCCTATGGGAATTATCACTACTTCAGAAGCTATTTCCACGCAACTTGTGACAACTGGTGAAGTGGCAACAACAGCTAAGATTATTCCTATCTCTACATCACAAGTTAAAACGTCTATACCTGTGGCAGTAGAAGCCATTTCCACTTACACAAAGAGTACTGAAAAAACTCCTTTAGTTGGCACCACAGCTACTGGATTGGAAACATCTACAGCTGCAATAACTGCTGAAATACCATCTTCTCCTGAGATATCAGCAACTACATCCAAGTCTGTGTCCATCTCGACAACACCTGTTCAGTCGCCCATCACAGCAGAAATTAACACTATACTGTACTTTACCAGCTACTTTGATGGTCTCCACAACAGGTGCGGAGAGCACCAGTCTTATGGAAGGCACTTCTCCAGAACTCACTTCCACTGATGCAAAAACATCTAGAACAACTCCTTCAGATAGCAAAGCAGACATTGTATTGTGGAAATCCACACCTGCATTGACAACTACTGTGGTACCAACTTCAGATGAAATTAAGTCTGTCACCACAACATCTGTTAAAACCACAGTTGCTCCTTCCCCATCAGCAACATCTACTGAGATGATGACATTTGAAACTTCACCGTCAGTAGGTAATGTATTGGACATAACTACACCAGTTCCCACAACAGGAATTGTACTGGAAAGGTCTACACCTGCAATGACAATAGCTGAAGCAACAACCTCAGCTGAAACCATGTCTGTCTCTACACTATCTTCTGAAACTGCTATTGTTGTTGAAACTAGTGACGTTGCAGAAATGGCTTCTGTAGCACCCATGTCAAGTAACGAAATAACTCCTGGAGCCACTCTCCCAGCTGATACTTACACTGGCAGTAACGATATTTATATATTTGGCATTGGATGGGGTTTTTCAGATATCCTATCAGTTCCATACCTACCAGTTGTAACTACAACTGAAACAACTGATAGCCTACAGTCAATTCAGGTTGTTGGATCCACCACAATTCCTCAAAATAAACAAACAGCTGTGACTGATGCCCGTGTAGAAGTTGCATCTAGCCTTACAACTGTTACAGAAATTACTTTCCTAACATCCATGTCAGACGAAGATACACAATCTGAAACCATTTCCCCAGTAGATACTTAGACTGGAAATGCAGTTGGCTTTGGATGGGGATTCTCTTGATATGCCATCCGTTCCTTATGTACCAGTTGTAACTACAACTGAAACAATTAAAACTGACAGTTGACTCAGGTTGTTAAAACGGCCACAATTCCTCAAATTAAACAAACAGCTGTGACTGATGCTCATGTAGTGTTTGTTTGTTGTTTATAGACTTACAACTGTTCCAGAAATTACTTTCCTAACACCCATAGGGTTGCCACTTTCAGCTAGGTAAAATAAGGGACACCCATTCACAACCCCTCCCCCCATAAAAAAAAACTCCAAGGACACAAATAATCAGTGAGGAACTCATAGCTCAACAATAAACCATGAGAAAACATGCTCATGTATGTAAACTTGCAACAGAATACATTAATATTGCTATTTTAAATTTGATTATTTATAATTATTAATTATTATTAGTCTTTCGTTGACAGTTCTGCAGCTGTTACCTGAATGGGATGATTTTTTTTTATTCAATTGCTTAAATTAGGACTACATTATTATGTAATTATTTGTCCCATTTTTTTAATCTAATTAATTTAGCAGCGTTTAAACTTTAAAATGCCAAATTGTATATGACATATATGATTATTTATGTATATATTTATGATTAATATAAATTATAAATTAAACCGGGTCTAACATTAATTCTAATCTATTCATCTGTCTAATAATGTCTAAAAATATAATAATTGCTGAACCACTTTCTCAATACATCGCTTGTTGTATTGGAATCAGTCATACTTTAAGTTTTAAAAACTTTGATTCCAGTAAGAGTAATACACGTGTGCTTCTGCGCAACAGCAATTATTTGTCCCTGTCCTTGACTCTAGCTAGTGTTTATGCTGCAATGTTTGTCTTGAACTTTAATATTGCCTTACAACTATTAAATTGTACGTATGTATAAGTGATCATGTCATCTTAATTTGCTTCTATAATGTCTAAAGATGTTTAAACATGCTTGCATTTGCTCTGCACATTTGTAAATGGTTACCTGAAGTTTGCCCCTTTAAAAAAAACTGATGATAATGACTAATAATAATAATAAACCAATGCCTTGTCAACAGTCAATATTAAATTCTTTCATGACTGTTTTCTAATTTGAGGTTTCACTTTTCAGGTGAGGTCAGCTGTATATGTGGTTTAAAGGGATGATTACAAGAATAATAGGCCAGCAACTTTGCTGTGAATGCTTAACAATAACTAGTCAAAATGCATTTACCTTGTCAATTTCTCCCAATACATAAATGCAGAATTGATTGCAGTCCATATCTGAATTTAATTAGAATATAAATGTAATTTGAAAATAAACTGCATCAAATATCGTTTTTAATGGAAAGATTTAATTGTTGGGTTGATGTCAACCAAAGGCAACATTGTTGCTGAGGCCATATGAGGCCTTATTTAAAAA